CCATTTCCGTACACCAAGCTAGTTGGCCTATGAACCTCTAGGAATTCTGTCTCCACCTCCAATCTCACAGTAGGAGCACTGGGATTACAAATATGTGCTACCATGCCCAGCTTTATAGGGGTTCTAGGGATTCAAAATCAGGTCCTTGAGCTTGTATGGCAAGCACTTTTACCTACTGAGTCATCTCCATAATCTTTGGAAAGAAATTTCTAACCAACAGAGCTACTTGACCATGAAGTAAGCTTCCTGTGGATGTAGTTCATTCCGACGGAAGGAAGCAGTGAGTCCTTCCATGGGGCTATTGAAATGTTTTCTCTCTCTCCCTTACCTGCCAAGTAAGTTCCAATGGGGCCAGTTCTCAGCAGTCAGGAGCTGTGTGTAGGAAAAACAGAGTTTCTATTTCTCTTCTACTCTTATACTGCAGTCCACAAAGAAAACTGTGACTCCCAAAAGGTGTAGAAATTTCCTCCTGCCAGGAAGCTAGCAGTTTTTCAGCAGATACCAGCTGGATTCCCTCTAACTCCAATTCAATTCTGATCCTATCTACATGGACACAGCATCAGACTCCACAGGCTAAGAACCCAGTCCCCAAAGCTAACTCCACTTTAGATGCTAGTCCTAAGCCCTAAGTAGCTTCACCTGTGCTGCTGACCCACCAGCTATAAGTCAGAGTTCCCATAAACCCCTCCTTTCAGTCAATTAATTTACTAGAGCAACTCTCAGAACTCAGGGAAAGAACTGTATTTACTGGTGTATAACAAAGGCAATTGCAAAGGTCCCAGGAGAAGAGATGCACAGATGAGTTGTGGAGAAGGAGCACGTGGCTCTCACGCCCTCACCAGGTACACTGCCATCAGGAGCCCTTATCTGGAAGCTCTCTGAACACTGTCCTTTTGACTTCTTATGAAGACTACACTGCATAGGCATGATTGCTAACAGGCTGGATGGAGATCAATAAGACTGTCCAGATTCTTCAGCATGAGCAGGATCTTCAGACCTACTGCCAGATGAAATGAGTCAGAAAATTTCTTTGTAGACAGCTAAAATCAGGAAAAGATTAGAATGTTTATGACCTGCCTTGAGGGGGAAGTTACAAGCCAAAAACTACAGTTGCAAACCAAAATATATCCTAATGTTACATCAACCCTTAAGTGATGACCAGACTATCTTGTACATCAAAGACTATAAAGCCATAGAGCAATTCAGAGCACACTTCTGTACCTTATGAATTTCGAACCATACAGTTGCAAAGTAAATTCACTATAGCAATGGTACTTTTTACTGCTGGGGATCCTATGCACCTTTTTTTATTTTTTAAAATTGCACATGTACTTTTATACTGGTCAACAGAGGTTAAAAGGAATAGTAGAGGCAGCTGCCTTGGGGAGAACAAAGGCCTGGGGATCAGAGATGCTGGTGTGTAAGCATGAGGAGATCCCCATCCTGGGAGCCCTCAGGATGGTTATGAACAGGGGCTACACCAAGATAAGGTGCAATTAGAGGCTAAATGATTGAACTGTAGACAAACACGCCCAGATATTTAAATCCTTTCTAATATTTCTTTCAAAACAGTTACCTCAGAAAACACCTGACAGTACTCAATTAACTATGCAATGGCCACACTGTACCAAGGTCATGCTGCCACTGTTGTTGCTCAAAGATTACTGGGAACTCTCTTTTTAGATTTGTCCTCAACAGGAATTAACATAACTGACCCCAAATCTGTCTTTCCGGACTCAGGTCCCTGAGTAGCAGTCAAGGCTCACATTGTCCTGGCTAGCAGGGACATAAAGCCTCTAGGCTATCATGTGAGTTCTCACCATATAGCCTTATTCCTGAGCATTGAAAATCTGCTTCAACTCTCCTAAAGGGAAAGTGGTTAACACACACACACACACACACACACACACACACACAGCATCTCAGCATCTTCCTGGAAGATCTGATTGTTGGAAAATCCTATGCATTGTGGACTAATACTGCCTCACCAAAGCTTCCATATACTGGGCTTAATGGAATGTGGGTGGTATTCTCCAGTTTTCAAATAGCGCTGATCTTGTTCCTCCCTTCTAGACTTCATTTCCCCTCCTTTTCCTACTTAGGTAAATTTCATTTACATGGAAACTATCACCTCAGGAGTGGAAAGCCTATATCAGTTCCAAATTTACCACAAAAGGAATAATAGGAGGAGGAAGAAAAAACGATGATATTAAATTCTACTTAGGTGCTGTTGCCTAGCAAAGGCTCTGAGGGAGAGGCAAGCTCTGTGTTGTTAAAACACAAGATTAGCAAAGGTTGGAAGGGCGTAAAGATACCACACTGTTTCACATTGATCAAGAGCAAGCCTCAGCTCTGCAGCTTCCTAGCTACCATCCTCAACACCTTCACCTCTGTGTGCTCCAGTTTCTTCCTCTGTGAAATGGGACCAGCAATTGCTCTTGAGATTAACACTTAAAGGCTGAGCCAGATTTGAACACTGTTGAAGTTGGCCTAGCCTAAGATTGTGGAGTCAGTCAGCTGTTGGGTTGAATTAATTCAGTCTTTGGGTACTAACAAGATTGTGCTTATAGTCAACTAAAATCTCTAAGACATTTTGGCAATTGCTGCTACTGAGCCAGCCACATCTCCTGTTGTAAGCTTACATTGCTGGGTATTTGAAACCATGAAAGGACTTGCATTTATCCTGCTGTTGTTGTTATCCATTCTTTGAGAACTTTATACAGATATAATGTATTTTGATCATGTCAACCTCTCACTTCCTCTTTAACTCCTCCCAGACCTTCCCTTCCCACATCTCCCTCCCAATTTCATTTTCTACTGAGTCCAATCAGTGCTCTCCTTGTGTGCACGGATGCAGGGCCATCCACTGGAGCATGGGAAACCTAACAGGGGTCACTACCTTAAAGAGAACTGACTCTACCTACCCCAGTAGCCTTCAACAGCCAAAGCTCCTCAGCTAGGGGTGGGGCTTTGTGAGTCCCTCCCCCATCTATGCTGGATTTTTTACTGGCTTGCTCTTGTGTAGGTCTTGTGCAGGCAACCACAGCCACTGTGTGTTTTTGTGAATGCAATGGTCCTGTCATGTCAGGAAGACACTATTTTGCAGCAGTTCTCCCCAGCCTTTGGCTCTCACAATCTTGCAGTGTTCTGCAATGTTCCCTGTGCCCTGTGGGGAGGACACTGATTCTCCTTAGCTACATTCTCCACTTCACTTTATCCTGGGATTTGAACATTTGCTCAACCCCTTCTCCTACCTTACCTGTGAAGAGGAGGAAGTCAAATAGGCAAACCCAGGTCACCATGAGGATGCATTGAACAATCTGGATATGAGTCTGTGTTCCTGGGAAGAACAGAAATAGAAACTTTTTGCTGAGTATCCATTATGTACCAGGCACTTTTCTTTTAAATATTTAATTATTTATTTTTTGAAAAAATATTTATGATTTGTATTTTACATGTATGAGTGTATTGCCTGCATGTGTATAAGTGACCCATATTATGCAATGCCCAAGGAGGTCAGAAGAAGGTGTCAGATCCCCTGGAACTGAGTTACAGATGGTTGTTAGCTACCATGTGTGTGCTGGGAACTGAACCCAAGTCCTCAGCAAGAGCAGTCAGTGCTCTTAACAGTTGAGTCATCTCTCTAGTCCCCTATTATTTTTATTTTATATGTACAGGTGTAATGCCTGCATGTATGTAAGTACGTCCATGTTGTGCAATGCCTACAGAGGTCAGAAGAGGGCATTGGATTCCCTGGAACTGGAATTACAGGTGGTTACTAGCTGTCATGTGGGTGCTGGGAACTGAGCCTGGGTCCTTTGCAAATGTGGCCAGTGCTCTTAACCACTGAGCCATCTCTCCAGCCCCCAGGCCCCTTCTTGAATATCCCATTTAATAAGCTAAGCATCCCTTGGGGTAATCATTAATTTGCATGATTACAGTGAAGAAATCTGTCTGAATGTGAAGTCATTAAGCATGCTAACAGCTTTCTACTTGGTTCATGTGTAGCCTGGTATTATTTTTGTAAACACTTTATCATGTTACTTTGCACTTTCCACTCTTTATGAATAAATTTTATCTCTTTGTTCTTAGAAGACTTTGAAGCACTTAAGTCTTGATATCTTATAATGATTATGCAATAGCCCATTAAGTCACCCTACCTTAATTTATTTAATTAATTTTCTACTGGTGAGTTTGTCGTTTGCATTTTGTAGCTTTATTCCGGAGTGTGTGTGTGTGTGTGTGTGTGTGTGTGTGTGTGTCTACCCAAAGGAGTAAGTAACCCTTAGGTCACCAAAGCAAAACTAATTTTCTACCCCCAAAATTTATTTTCCACCTAATTCAGAAAATATTCAAGTGTCATGATGAGTGAGTGTCAGGCAGTGTGCCAGGGTCTGGGGACAGCTATGAGCCAGGTGGGTGCTTCAAGGAGCGCACTGTGAAGTAGGAGGGAGGGCCGGCGGCCACTGGTGGGACAGCTGGCAATGCTTGCCCTGTCCCTCGGAGAGTGAAAGGAGGGAGCTGTTTGTATGCCTGGCTTACGCCATACTGCCAAGAGTTTGGGCACGAATATTACATTGTGAAAAAAAAGTATCCCATCCTCCGGGGCAGAGGATGGTGATGGCGTTGTAAGCTTCTTTCTATCTCCTGGGGGAGTGGAGAGGAGGTCAACCGGACCGCAGGAGCAGGATCCACATCACAGACTGGAGGACTTGAGCGCGGGTCCCCCAGGGACCAGACCCGACAGGTGGCCTCTGGGGAAGGACATCGTGCCCACAGCGCCCTGCTCAGCTTCAGGTGGTTAGGGAGACTGTGAGGGAGCCCTGGCCGCTCCAGGCAGGGATCAGGGCGCAGCCAAAAGTGCGCTCCAAGGGGCTCACTGGGCCCGGGGCGGGGAGCAGGCGAGGGGCGGAGCTCCGGGCCGGGTCGCGGCGGCTGCCAGAGGGTCTGCGGGGACCGGTATGCGGTGGCGGGACCCGAAGGCGAGCTCCGCGAGCTTCAGGTAGAAGTGCACCACTCCAGGATCGTGAACTTGACATCACCAGCAGGGCGGCCCCGGCATCCTGAGCACCGCGTCCATCCTCGCGGAGACCCACAGCCGAGGACCCGCAAGTGCCCTTGCGCGGAGGAGCCAGGACAAGGACGCCAGGTAGGACCGAGGGACGCGAAGAGGGCAGACCCCACGCACCCAAGTATCCGAGTGGGTTCTCTGGAGTCTGAGGACCTGTGCTCAGGGACGAAGGAGCCGCGCGCTGCAGCAGCTCAGACTTCGGAGCGCTGGGCGCTCGGGGCTTAGGGAACTGGACCACGCGCTGCCCATCCACCCCGCTGTTCCGGGATGCCGGGTAAAGGAAGGCCCGGGCGACCGGGAGGATAAATGGGAGTTCGCACTAAGAAGGCTGAGGGTTGTGTCTTGTGCCTTTGTTCCATTTCTCCCTATGACATGGTCAGAAAGAACTTTTCTTTCCGTGTGTCAACAAGAATATAGAGTAGCTTTCCTGGGAGTGCATGTGTACAGAAGGAAGGCTAACAGAGTGGTCCTGGCACGTCTGTGCCGAGTGCCTCTTTCAGGATTCCTGGTCTAAGCCACCAACTGCTTTGGGATGCCTGCCTGGTGTCAATCTCCAGGCCAGGTTACCAGCCTCCACATTCCTTGAGTGGGATGAGAATTATGGGGTTCTTCATTCTTATTATTTTGACATTGTAGTTTTATTGATGTGCATAAGGTTTTAAAATACTAAATAATATAAATGCATCCTAGAGATGCTGCCTGTATTAGCACCTATCTATTCCAGCCTCCCTTCTTTTCACCCATATGCACCCTCATTTTTTGTTTTTCTGTTTTGTTGTTGTTTGGTTTTTTGCTTTTGGTTTTTGTAGGGTTTTGTTTGGTTTGGGGGATGGGGTTTGGGGGTTTGTTTATTTATTTATTTATTTATTTATTTATTTATTTATTTATTTATTTGATGACACTCCGATTGGCATAACAGAAACTTTAAAAAAGTAAAACGATAGGGTCTCACTATGTAGCCCTGGCTGACCTGGAACTTGCTATGTAGACCAAGCTGGCCTCAAAATTCACAGAGACCTGCCTGCTTCTGCCTCCCAAGTCCTGGGATTTAAAGTATGAGCCATTTCCTTATTCTGTTTCTTTATCTAATTCCTTCCTGACTAGTGAAAGCACCAGAAGAAAATGATGTTGCCACCACTGCCACCTCCCTCATTCTCCAGTGCTCCTCCTTGGAACACCTGTGGGTTCCCCAGTGTCTTTTCCAGAGGCCGCGCTCAGAGTAGAGAGCCTGATCAGAAGATTATAATTCACTTGTCTTCATTCTTCAGTGATTAAAAGAAAGGCATATAGGGAAGAGTCCATGGCAAGGTCTGCATTCACTTGTTCTTTCCCTTAAACCAGACTTTCCCAGGGCAGAGTTCAGTACTGAGGGAAGTTAAGCATGTCCTGAAATGTTCTTGCCCAGAATTTAACACTGGGCTGACTCCTATATTTTAAAGCAGCATTGTGCCGCTCACCCTCCATTGCTCTTTCCACCTAGATTCTGGGTCCCCAGAGTGGCATGTCTGGGGTTCTCCCTCTAGGGTTGCATGTTTTAAACTGGCCCTGTGACTGGAGCTCGGGGGCAAGGCTTTCTGACAGGCAAGGGGAGGGGAAGATGCAAAAGAGGAAATTGAGGAGCCTGGGAAGCAGTCAGTGCAGACTCCTGGATCAGGCCCTGTCATTTAGGAACAGCCCCTGGGTGGTTTTGCTAGATCATACCTGTGGCCTACTTCCTGCCAACTATCTATACGATCAAATCTTTTCCAGGATCAACAAATGAAGCCATTTCTGTATGAGGTTAAAACAGAGTGGTTGAACTTATTGTTACTGAATTAAAGCTTCTTTAGAAGCTTCATAAACTGTTTAAAGTAACCTAAAAACTGTTCCAGCCATGTTTTCCTTTATTTTCCTCATTGTTTTTCCATGTGGCACCATCTTGAACTGAAGTCCACACGTCAGAAAGTTCAGGCCATTAGAAGTTGCTCTTTCTAAGAAACCAAGGATGCTCATTGTGACAGGAGAGGGAATGGTGAAGAAGACTGGGCTGGGTGCAAGTTCAAGAACGATAAGAAGTTGTGTGTGATTCTTAAACAGAGCAATGGGTACATAAGATGGGGAGAAAATCAGTTTTCATTTAAAACAGTTGTAGAATGACAAGCCACATGCCAGTTCCTGGGAACAAAACAATAAAACCAGGCAAGGACCCTGACCTCCTGGTGCTTACAGATGCTTGGGGAGGCAGCTCTTAGTAAAATAAGAATCAACTACATGACAGCAAACCAAAATAAACTCTCTATAGGAAATGCACAAAGCTCTTTGGGGGTATGCATCCATGGGCTTGAGAGATCAGGGAAGGCTTTTCTCAAGCAGATCTTCCTCAGCTGAGGTTCAGGGTGAGTGGAGATGCTGATCTGATCTTGAGATGAAGTCAAAAGGCATCATTTTGGAGTTATATTTGACCGCTGGTCACAAGAAGACTGACTGCCAGAGAACATTTGCCAGTCGACATGTACCCATGCACAGCTGGTATTACTGGCACTTGGGGAAAGAATGTTTTATTATCACAGGATGGATGTGTTGTCTTCAATTGGTCATAGTTTTCCATTGCTGTAATTCTTGGTTTTAAATTACGCATTCAGATTAACTTAATTCCTATTATTTTATATTATTGTGTACAACAAAATGTGTATTGCAGTTCAACTGTTAATCATTCATTTTCTGAGAAGGTAAATATGGAGATAAATCTGATACCAAATTTGACTTACGCAGTATAGATGTGTGTTATCACTGAAGAGCTTCCCAGGTGAAAATACCTGTTGCAAGTAGATTGTAACTGTCTTCCCTTTATCCCTAGCTACTGCTCTAATTGGAAGGCCATGTCCTGTTCTGTCCTGACCTGTCCTCCCCACCAACTATCCTGAGACTCCGTGACTCTGGCCTTACACACACAAATCACATACTCTGGCACTGAGCTGCATCCCCAACTCTTGTGGGGTTTTTGGCAAGGGAGACATTGAAAGTTTTAGTTACTGTAAATCTACATGTACCTCCTCAAAACCATATTCAGTTATTTAGTAAAGACAAATATATACTACCAGTTGGTGTAAGTGAATATAAACTCACAATGTAGTACATGGGATACTCCATGGAGCAATGTATTCATGTTCAAACAAATATTTTCATTCATTTAATAATATTTGCAGTAAATCTATGTGCACAGAGCCCTGCTAGACATTGTGGCTAAAATGGATTAGTAAGCCACAATCACAGCAGTTCAGGAGTCCATCCCTTCCTCTTAGGAGCAGGAGTCATATTGATCCACACTCAGGTAGTAAGTACTTTGTTTTCTATGATGAAAGCATCATTATTGTGTACAAGAGAAGAGAGTGGTCAATTCTACCAATTGAGGGAGGTCAGCAAAATGTTCATGGGAAAAGGAACAGGAGTTGAACCTTGGAAGATGAGATAGCCTACCAGTTAAACAAAAAACAGTGAGATTCGTGAGCAAAAAAAAGAAGAAAACAAAAGAAAAGCCCAAACACCAATCCCAACAAAAACCCAAGGTCTGCAAAGGCATGTCAACTTCTGGGACCTATAAGTGGCTCAAAGTGCTGAAGCATGGGGAGAAAGAGGGCCTCACTGGTTGATGAGGCAGGCAACAATGTGGTTAATGTGTGCACTGTGGGGTCATACAGACCCGGGTTTGAGTCATGGTTCTACTACTCTCTAGCTAAGACTCCTCAGTCATGTTATGGAACCCCAGGAAATAGTGGTAATGAGGGTGCTGCCACTCCCCAGGATTGCTACCACACTGAGAGATGTACAGTGCCTGACACTGGCCTCGATTTTCAGTACTGTTCCTAGGGTTTTCTCTAGAGAAGTGATTTAGCAAACACTTTTGTTTAGAGTGCAGTCATTCTGGCTACATGTGAATACTCAGTTTAAAAGGGCACATTTTATAGCATGCGGAGTGACCATTAAAGGTACTGAAACCATTCTATGATCACATCCTGAACTATGAGGGCTGTGCAGTGGCAATGGAGAAAAAGAGGTAAATGCTTCCTCAGTGTAGACTTCATGACTCCGTGACTTATTGCACACTCTGGTCTTCCATCCTTTGATTCTGTCATCCAACTCATCTTGCCATAGAAAAGGGGAAGATAGGCATCAGCCAGATCTGGGAATCAGGAATCTTGGCACTATTTATGTGCAGAGATCCTCTTAATTGGTTCAAAAAAACCCTGCCTTTCTAATTCAGAAGACTTGGCCAACTTCTACGTATAACATAGAATAGGATCAATTAGACTTCACCTATTGGTCACTGACATGAAGCACAGTTAACCCTCAGTCTTGCCTGATATAGCTCTTACACACTAACCTGATATTTTTCTCCCTTTTTTCTTAAGTGCCCCCATAATCCAGTAAGCAATGACTGGGTGTGGTCACACCTGTAATCCCAGCACTTGGGAAACTGAAACAAAAGGATTGTCACTTTTTGGAGGCCATCTCGGGCTACATAGTGAGTTCCAGGCTAACGTGGACTTCAGTATGAGACAATGTTCATAAATAAATAATGAAACTAGCTGATTAAAGGCATGCTGAGGGCCAACTGAGTGAGGAGGTCAAATAAAGATGAAGAAAACTAAAGTCAGCCTCTGCCATAGAGTCTAGTTTGGGCTGGAGGTGTGGCTCAGTGCTAGAGTACTTGCCTAGGATGCATGAGGCACTGGGTTCAATTCCCAGTACAGAGTCCTCCCCCTATCGTCCCCCAACTAATTTCTTCACCAGGTATAGTGGATCATGAATTGAAGGTCAACCTGAGCTACACGGTAATACCATCTCAGAAAGCCAAGTAAAAGTGAATAAATAAATGGATTGATTCTCCATGTCTGTGACATGAATCCATCTGAATCTGTTTGTACTGGTGGACATCCCTTCGGTATGTGTAAAGCTAAAGGCTGGATGTAGGGTTTTATAAATTTAAATATTTTTTTATTTTGGTGTGTGTGTGTGTGTGTGTGTGTGTGAGAGAGAGAGAGAGAGAGAGAGAGACACAGAGAGACAGAGAGAGACAGAGAGAGAGACAGAGAGAGAGA